TTGGGTATACGTGTACGAATGAGAAATCAATAAGAACTCTCAATTTTCTCAGGATTTACCAAATGTCATCTACACATGGAGTTGGCCATGTGTATATTTCCCATATTGCATGAGACAGGTTCGCATTTCCCACACTTCTACCTGAATCCGTATGAATATAAAAATTTCCCCAGGATTTTCCTTCTGTCAGCATGATATATGCATATTTTGCAACACTTGATCCAGTAATAGGAGGAAGCCCCATTGCTTCAGCTGTTGGCAGGTGAAACCATGTGAATGGTGGTGGTTCGTAAAGTACAATTTCGTCCCTGAGATTCCCCCAAATGGTCCCCTAGTGGTGACGCAGCTGCCTGGTGTCCTGTACAGCTGAGAGCGAGCCGGGAGAAGGTGATGACAGAGGCATTGGAAAGAGCCCAGAATGGATACGCTTTATTCAGAAGAGGTCGGTCGGTCCGGGATTGGGAATAAATTACCCCATAATAACCGCCCGATTATACCTAGCATGTTCCGTTGTAGGGACCTGAATTTGAATCGTCAGTGAATACATTCATCCCTGTTTTTGCAATATGAACACGTACATGTTCCTAGAGAAGGTCTCCCAAAGACGTCGATATGTGTCACACAGGCATTCACACAGCTTTGAGAAATAATATTCCCCAGGGTTTGATAACAATGGGGGAAAATGGTGTTTCTAATGTGACGATGACATTTACATGGGAAACTGATTGAAGGATGTGTTCCTAGTCATGTGGAAAATGATGTTTCTAATGTGACGATGACATTTACATGGGAAACTGATTGAAGGATGTGTTCCTAGTCATGTGGAAAATGATGTTTCTAATGTGACGATGACATTTACATGGGAAACTGATTGAAGGATGTGTTCCTAGTCATGTGGAAAATGATGTTCCTAATGTGATGATGACATTTACATGGGAAACTGATTGAATGACATTAACATCAGTTCCTCCCGAGTACACCATAGGTTCATGGATGGTTCTCTGGTGTTAACTATTATAACATAGTAGTGTCTATTACGATTACACGAATATCGAAAGTGAACGCCGTCCTCAGATGGAAATCGGAGTGCCTGAGGAGTCACCATTACTTTGACGGTGTGAATCTGCCGATAGCTCTCCTAAACTGAGTTGATAGTTGCTCATAGAACATCATACAGAAACCTGACCGACAAATTAATCCACCGTGTTTGCAATTACTGAGCCTCGTGAGAAATGCTATGTATGAGCTCTGTTCACTGAAAAGTTCCCAGGAGCTCTCTGTTAGTTGGTTACGCGAGTACAAGCGATAGATATCTTGGCGATAAATATACCAGATGTTTTGCACCTATGATATGATATTACATTACCTTTGGGGAATAATTGTCTCCAGGGTTCGATAACAATGGGAAAATGTCTCTCATGTTTTTATAGGAACCGGGTTGAGAAGTGTGTTCCGAGCGAAAATTCAAAATGGGGTTTCCCAGGAAAATTATCCTGTTCTGACAGTGTTAGTGGGGATGATATGCGATACTAATACTCCATCGATCAACCACTCACAAACTCAATACGACTCCACTTTAAGAATTGATGAGTATGAACAAACTGATAAGAAAACTTTGAACTATAAGAGAGAACGGAAAGCGAGATATCAAGTGTCGTCATGTATTACGTATTACGGGACCTGTGAACTATACCATAATAGGAGGGAGTGTAACTATTGTCATCGTGCGTCACTATTATATTTCTTTCTGGCTATTTTTTTTTCATTTTTTTTGTGACAGGTTCACTGAATGAGCTAAGTTCAAAGACTGCACTCAGCATTAGAACTATAGAACTATATATATAGTGTGTTCGCCATTTGGGTGGACATTTCACCCAAATTCGTATATTAACTACTCTAGTTAGTCACGAAACTACTGAGCTCAGCTGGAGATAACGAGCATATATATTCGTCCAATCCTGACGAGGTTAAGATTCATCCGGCCCACTACGGTCTGTCACTGTGAACACAACATACTGTAATTCAAACAGCACAACATCGATGATATCACATGACACAACATGAGGAGGAGGATGTTCATCTGGGGTGTTGCGGGATAGCCTCTAAGGCGACTACTGCAGTCGATTCACCATCAGCATTCTCATCTGTCGCTCCCCACTGGCTCTTCTTCTTCTTCTGCTTCTTAGACACACCCATGCCCACCGTCCCCTTCTCCTGCTTCCTTCTCCAATGCCTCCCTCTCAAGCTCCATGAACTCCTCCTCCTCCTACTCCTCCACCACCCCTGCAGTCTCGTCTACTCCCTCAGCCTCCTCTTCTTCCTCCCCAGCTGCCAATTCCGCGGTCCCATCCACTTTATCGTCCTCTTTCACTTCGTCCTCCTCTTTCATCTCCTCTTCTTCCCTCTCACCTGTCATTTTGTGACCTTCTTTTACTCCGTCCTCCTCTTTCATCTCCCCCGACTTTTCCTCCTCCTTGTCTGCCACTATCGCGGTCTCATTCACTTCCTCCTCCTCCTCGTCGTCGTCTGACTCAGCGCTCAGTTCGGAATCATCATCAGATCTTTCCTCTACTGTTGGTAACCTAATCTCAAGAAGTAACCCATCCGCTTCAATTGCCGCCCCTCTTACAGTTTTATATTCACCTTATTAGATGCAGTGCTCGCCATGACCTCATCCACCTGAGCCCAGAAAATGCCCTGCGAGGCTCGAAACCGGGCGTCAGCAGCGACAGAATCTCTGAACAAAAAGTGAAAAAGAAAAGAAACACATTCCAAAGACAACCGTACATAGCATCCGCTTGTTCGCTGTTAGTAGAATCTTTGCGCATGCGTGCAACGATGTACTGCCGTTCCTTCACATTGCTCGTGACTACCAATCAGTTTCCCATGTAAATGTCACCTTCACATTAAGAACATCATTTTCCACGAATGGCTACGGGCACATTCTTCAAACAGTTCCCGAGATAAATGTAATTTTCACATAAGGAACATCATTTTCCCCAAATGTGAGCTTGTGAATGGTGAGCTAGCTCACTCTACTACTATGATCAGAATAAATTTTTGAAGAAATTTTGGGCGATTCCTGTTGGTTCTTGTACACTTCTACTACCCGAATTTGTATATAACCTTTCATACAAGTGAGGTAATCTTAGAGCTCAGCTGCTGAGGAAAGCCGTCATCATCCCACTTGCCAAAGCTTCTGCCTCCAAACATTCACGGAGTTTACCACTCATCACCCCAGGTGCGTTACTAGACGATGCCAGCAGTAGTAGTAGACGACGTATGAAACTGATACGGTGACAAATCGATCACGTGATCGATATAGCTAAATTTATGTTATATGGCATATGTATCTCACCAACACCCTATGTTCTCCATAGGTAGCAATAGAGTAGAGTTCAACCCGTTTTACGTAAAGTGGCGTTATACACAGTGCAGTAACCGTGATACGCATTTTCTACTAGTCTTTTATGTCAGAGCGGACCCTATTGATATCATTGGAGTT